TTACCTTTTACACTCTCATTAGTATGTTGGTAGAACATTTAATTTATTTTTAGTTGGTTGGCTTTTATCTTATATAGCCCAGGCTAGCCTCAAGTCTATTGTATGTCTGAGTCTTGCCTTGAACTTCTGTTTCTCCTTCCTCCTAGATATATATCTAGATTTTATTTGTTACTGTCTAGCAGTCTTAGGGCCTTTTATTTTCATATTGTGACTGGCTCACTTTGAGTTCATCTTTGTGGAAGATAAAAGTTTGTGTCTGAACTTAATATTTCCCATTTGGATGTTCAACTGTTTTACACCATTTATTGATCTTGCATCCATTGTATCATCTTTGTTCTTTGTCAAAGATCAGTTGACTGTACTAATACAGAACTCTATTCTGTTCTATTGATTTCTTTGTGTTTTGTTTTTTGGTACCACACATATAGTTAATCTTAAATTTGGATAGTTTTTAGTTTTCTGCTTTTATCTCTTAGCATTGAGTTGGCTTTTATTCTCTGTATAAACTTTTAAAATCAGTTTGCCAATATCCTCAGATTAACTTGTTGAGGTCATCAGTGGGTTGCATTGAACCTGTCAATCAGATAGGAAGAACTTACATCTAGACAGTACAATGCCTGACTGCTTACGAGCATATGGATGCTTCCATTTATTTGGTTCTTGGATTTCTTCCATAGTTTTGTAGTTTCCCTCATATAGGTCTTACACATATTTTGTTAGATTTAATTTCTGAGTAAGTACTTCATTTTTTGCATGTTAAAATAGCTAATGATGTGCGAAGTATGTGTGTGAGTTTTATTTAATAAGGTTTATTTATGTTTTATGTTTATGTGTTAACCTGCATTTATGTATTTGTACCACATGTGTGCCTGGTATCTACAGAGGTCAAAAGAAGGCTTCAGATCCCTTTAGAACTGGAATTACAGGCAGTTGTGAACCACTATGTGAGTGCTAGGCACCAAATCCAGGTCCTCTGCAAGAGCAGTAACTGCTCTTACCTGCTGAGCCTTATCTAGTACCTGCTAATGTGGTTTTAGTTTCAAATCCCACTCATAAACTGCCGATATTTAGGGAAGTGGCAGGCTTTTTAGATTAACTTTGTTTCATACAACCTTCTTATCCCTCATTAATTCCAGGAACTTTCTAATTAGTTCATTCAAATTTCCTATGTAGAAATTTTTATTTGTTTGTTTGTTTGTTTGTTTGTTTGTTTTTTCGAGACAGGGTTTCTCGATGGCTTTGGAGGCTGTCCTGGAACTAGCTCTTGTAGACCAGGCTGGTGTCGAACTCACAGAGATCCGCTTGCCTCTGCCTCCTGAGTGCTGGGACTAAAGGCGTGCACCACCAATGCCCGGCCCTATGTAGAAACTCAATGAACAAAGACACTTTAAAAAATTATTTCTTGATCTTAAGTTTTCATTTGTACATTTACAAAGCCTTAGAAATAGTCACTCGTCTCTTTTCTTTCTCAGTCTTGACACTGGTGATATTTTGAATGAGATGTCTTTTTCTTGTTGGCCTGTGTTAGGCACTGTGGTATGTTTAGCATCATTAATAGCATCTACATGCTATATGGGAGTAATCCCTAGAGTCAGTCATAGCAATCCAGGTTAGATTTCTTCTGGAAGACATAAGTCTCTCTCCCCAACTGATAAACCCTTAAGTGATAGAGTTGATCAGAATATGATAAGCAAATGGTCTTTTTTTTTTTCCCCACAGACTTTAAAACAGAAGAGGAGCTATTGTCTTACATACATGAAAACTACCAAAAGACTGTGTCTACAGGAGAAATCACATTGTATTCATGTGCTCAGAATATGGTCTCAACCATTAAAGTGTTCCTGAAGTCGAAGGACGTCAAAGAATTAGAAGTAAGGAAGTCTAGATAATGCTGTCATAGATGTAGTTGATGGTTTAGTGCACATACCTTGAAGAATTTCCATTATGTATACATGATTGAAAAGTTATGAGTAGGCTGGAAAGCTGGCTCAGTGGTTGAAAGCAGTGACTGATCCTTTGGGGGACCCAGGTTCAATTCCCAAGCTGTTTGTGGCTCACATTTGTTAACTCTAGGTCCGAGAGGTCTGATGCCCTCTTCTGGCCTCTTTGGGTACTGCATGCATATGATGCACACATTCATTCAGTCAAAACATCCATACATGTAAAATAAAATATTCTTTTTAAATAATGAGTAAAGGATTCAGTATAATTCCAGATTTTGAGATGTGAGCCTGATAAACTGGAAGACCAGAATCAAAGTGAACATCTGTCCTAATGGAATGGTATATTTTTGTGTATGTTAGCTACATGAATTAAATTAATGGTTTTGACATTTGCTGTTCTTCAGAATCACTTTGTTGTTGTTTTGGTTTATTACTATTATTATTTGTTTATATTTTATGTATATGGGTGTTTTGCCAGCATGCATGTCTGCACACCATTTGCATTGGGACCCCTGGAACTGGAGTTACAGATGTTTGTGAGCTGCTGTGTGGAAGCTGGGAATCAGACTTAGGTTCTCTGGAAGAGCAGCCAATGCTCTTAATTGATGAGCTATCTTTCCAGGCCTGTTTTTTGTTTTTAATGTTAGTGTCTGATAGACTAACTCCAGGTCTCTTTATGTTAGGACTTGGACATCTATTGGTTTTAAAAACTCCCTACATAAATAATCTTAGCAGTGATGCAAACCACTGTTTTAGAGCACCTCATTTCCTTTATTCATGTTTAATGGCAAAAGCAAGGCTCTTTCTCTATAGTGAACAGGAGCTATTTATGGTATCACTGCTTTGTAGAACCTTCTTTTTAAAAATTCAGTGTATAAAGCTGGGTGTGGTGGCACACTCCTTTAATTCCTGCACTTGGGAGGTAGGAGGATCTCAATGATTTCAAGGCCAGCCTGGTCTACCTGATAAGTTCTAGGACAACCAGGACTACATAGAGAAACCCTCTCAACAAAAAGGGCATGTGTGTGTGTGTGTGTGTGTGTGTGTGTGTGTGTGTGTGTGTGTATGTTATATGTATGTGAGTGGAGGTGTATTCGGAGTCCAGAAGAAGGTGTCAGACTCTCTAGAGCTGGAGTTTCAGGTGGTTTTGAGCAGTCCAGCATAGGTGCTAAGAATCCTCTGCCAGAGCAATTTGTGCTCTTAACCTTAACGGTTGAGCCATCTCTATAGCCCAAGAAACCTTTCTGTAACAGTGGAAATCTAAAGGCTTGCTGTGTCTACTTGGTTACACATAGTAGTTTTGTTTTGGTTGTTTTTCCCCCACATTCTCTAAGACATCAAAGGAAAGCATTCATTTCAGTGGTTTTCATTCAAATGAAAGAAGAGGGAAGTATGTAAGGCATTAGTCAACTGTGAAGCAAACTAGAAATAAGTAACAGTTTTCTCCTATATAATAACTTTGTATTTGCAGGTGACTTGCCTGAATCATATGAACAGTAACCTCTTAAAAACCAGCAAAACTCTCCGACAGAATATAGGGGGAAAGCTGGATAAAGAAGACAAAGTCAGAGAGTAAGAAACCAATTTGTTTAATTTTACTACTACCCCAAAACAGTTCTCAGGTTAGCTTGGGACAGTTTAAATTGTCAGTTGCTTGAACATGCTTTTGTTAGTGATCTTTATGATGTACTGAGAGGTATTTTGAGTCACCTGATTAACAAGCACACCAGTGTTTAGAGAACACACTGGATTCTTATTGGACTCATCCTTCCCTCCTTTATTTAAAAAGAAAAGTATCATGGAGCCCAGCCTGTCCTCAAGCTTGCTATACAGCTGAGGCTGGCCTTGAACTCCTCATTATCCTGCTCCTACCTCACAAGTATTGAGGTTGCAGATATACAGCACCATGCCCAGTTTATGTAGTGCTGAAAATCAGATGCAAGGCTCAGGCATGCTAGGCAAGCAAGTCACCAACTGAGCTACACCCCAGGTGTCCCCACCTATGCACTGCCTTTTTTTACCCCTCTCTTTTTCAGTACTCGAGATTGACTCCATGGCTCTGTATGTGCTAGGCATGTGCTTCAACTCTGAACTATCTTCCCAGTTCTTGGTCATTGTTTCTTATAGATCTTTGCTCAAAGAAAGAGTTTTCAGTAAGTGACAGTCAAAGGAGATGTAACAAAGTATTTTGTTTACTTAAGGTGCCAGCTTCAAGTGTTTCTTCGCCTGGAGATGTGTCAGCAGTGCCCCTCAATACTGGAAAGTACAGATGAGGTGGAACAAGTAGTGGAGGAGGTGAGTCTATGGCTGATGCCTCGAGAGCATGTTCTCCTGCTTTCTACTTCCCAGCAGAGGCTATGGTCATTTTCTGCAACTTCTTTCAGGTGACAGATTTGCTGCGCATGGTGTGTCTCACTAAGGACTCAGCATACCTGTCAGAGTTTCTGGAGGAGATTTTGAGACTGTAAGTTTAATGACTACTGTCTTAGTTTAACGTTGTTTTACCGAGAACTCCACATGGTGCTGTTTTAGAATTACAAGATTACAAGGGCATTTTTCAGGCTGGGTGGGGTGGGAGGGGTAGAGAGGATGAGGTGGTAACTCTGTTCCATATTTAACTAATACACTCCACAGGTATATTGACTCCATCCCAGGGACAATTGGACAACTTTACCACAGCCTGGGGTTAAAGATTCCTCAGAAACTGGCTGGAGTCCTTCCTACAGAATTTTTTAGTGATGATTCTATGACTCAAGAGAGCAAGTCACCACCTCCCTCATCAAGTGCTCATAGATCAGTGTCGGGCATTACTGAATCTGAGCAGCTGGAGGAGCTGCGGACCAGATCAGCCAAGAAGAGAAGGTATCGGAGCAATTACCTATGCTATAATTAAGTTCAGAGAAGGGGCAAGTTTGAAGACAGTCCATCTAATGTGCTAAGTTTGTAGTTGCCCTTGTATCAGAATCACAGTCATAAACTTTCAGGAGTTCCCTCCAAGTAGCATCTGACACTTTATATTTATTACTCAGGGAATATGTGGTATTTATTTTGGTTTACAAAGACCTTCTTTACTGTCAACAGAGGTATCTGAGAACTAGGAACCTCTTATGAAATAAGATTGGGATTTCAGCTTATTTATAACATCTCCCTTGCTGCTTGTCATTGTTATTAACTAGCTGGATCTGTAGTAGCTATTTTTAGTAATTCTGGACTTATTCTAAATTCAGGCCAACCTCGAGATAACTAACTAGCACTTAATTTAAACAGTGTATTTTGTATGCTGGTTTCATGCAAGCCTCGCTACATAGTTCCTTTATTTGGTGTGTTTTCTATTTTTAAAAGGAAAAATGCACTAATAAGACATAAAAGCATTGCAGAGATTTCACAGACTCTTCGACAAATTGAAGTTCCCAAAGTGTCCAAGAGAGCTATGAGAAATGTAAGTAATCACCAATGATAAGAGCTAATGGTTCCTCTGCGGCTGAGATTAACGGGGAAAGGCAATGCTTCTCCCAGTGGGAAGTCAGCTTTGGAAGGTACCTTATCTGAAATGACCCTTCAGAGCGTCTGGATTTTGGAGTATTTACAATCAAAGAAATTTTTAAAATCTTTGGGAGTTAGAGAGATTGCTTACTGGTTAAGAGCACTTGTTGCCCTTCCTAGGGTCCTGAGTTCAATTTCCAGTACCCTCATTGTGGCTCACAATCCATTGTAACTGTACTACTATGGGATCTGTGGCCCTCTTTTGGAAAGAAAAATCTTTGCATTTTAGCACAGTTCAGATTTTGGACTTTTGAATTTAGGGATATTCAACTAATGTTGAATATTTCTGTGAACATGTATTAAACTATAACCAAAAGAATAAAGAAATATAAAATTAAAAACCAACAACAAAACAACAGCTAGGGAGATAGTTGAGTCAGTAAAGTACTTGCAGCCTGAGTTCAGTCCCCAGAACTGGTACACACACACACACACACACAGGGAGTTGAGGGAGAGGGGATATAAGCTCAGCTTTAACTAACATGACCTGAATTTGAGCTCTGGAACCTGTGTTTAAAAAAATACATTCAATAGGACTGGAGAGATGGCTCAGTGGTTGAGAACACTGGCTGCTCTTTCAAAGGACCCAGGTTCAATTCCCAGTACCCACATGGTGGCTCATAATCGTCTGTAACTCCAGATCCAGGATCGACACCCTCATGCAGACAGAACAGAAAGTGGTGGCCCATGCCTTTATTCCCAGCATTTGGGAGGCAGGGGCAGGCAGATCTCTCAATTCCAGGCTAGCCTGGTTTATAGAGTGAGTTCCTGGACAGCCAGGGCAACACAGAGAAAAAAAGAAAAAGAAAACGAGAGGAAAAAAAGCAAAGCCAGGGACAGGGGATATGCTCAGTTGGTAAAATGCTTGCCATGCAAACATGAAGACCTGAGTTAGTTTAGAACCATAAAATGCCTGGCATAGTGGCACATACTTGTAGTCCACCACTGGAGAGGCAGAGACAAATCTCTGGGTCTGCCAGACAGCTAGCCTAGACTGCTTGGCAAGTTTCAGGCCAGTAAGAGACCCTATCTCAAAAACAAGAATGTGGGAGGACACCCTAAGTTGTTATTTGGCTTCCATATGCACACATGTGGACCTGTCCCCCCACAAATACATACATACATATGTGAACAAACAGACACAAAGACAGCCATAGTCATAATAATGTGAAGAAAACAAGTGTTAAAGCTCTTTTATAATTTGTCTAGTAGGGTTTCTGGCTTTTGTTGGAAAACCCCTGAAAATAAAAATAAAAATAAATAAGTGAAGTTAGGAGTTGGAACTGGAGAGATGGCTCAATTAAGAGTGTTTGCTTCTCTTCCAGAGGACTCATTTGGTTTTCACAGCCCACACAGCTCATCAGCACCTATAACTCCAGCACTAGGGGATCCTGTGCCTTAACCTGCACATAATTGAAAATAATAAAAATAGATCTTAGCCAGGCATTGTGGCTCATGCCTTTAATCCCAGCACTTGGGAGGTAGAGAGGCAGGTAGATCTATGTGAGTTCAAGGCCAGCCAGAGCTAGTTCCAGGGCTGTTATACCTCAAAAAACTTAAGAATGAACAAACAAATGAATGAATAAATAAGTCTTCAAAACAAGTTAGGCAAGAATAAATTCAGTCTTTAATGTAATAACAAAACTTAAAAAACAACAGTGAAAATGTCATTGAAAAAAATATATGAATATAATAGGTGTTTGATTATCTCCCAAAAGAGTATTTTTTGATATGTTACATTTCATTTTGATTACAGTTTGGGATGGGGATGGGAGTGAAGATGGACCCTGTCATGAAACTTGGTAGTAATTGGTGGCAGCATAATAAGAGTTTTCAGGGAAGCAAAACAGTATACCTAGGATCTGCTTACTAGGTGGGATTAGCATCATGCTGAGGAAAGAAGGGAGGATAAAGATGCAGTGATGCTTTGGAACACGAACGGTTGGAGAAGAGATCAAGTCTGTGAGAACTTGTTTCAGAGGCATCCTCTATGGTAGTGGTTGTTCATTTCTAAACTGCCCGTACCATGGGAGGTGGGCTTCTTTTAGAAGTAGCAGTATTCACTTTCTTACGTTATCTTACCTGTAGATAAGATGCCAGTCTCACAGATCTTATACATGACTGAAGGGGAAAAAATTCCGAAAGTGGATGATGTACAGAAGCTGCAAGAACTCTATTAGCACTAGTTTTTATACTGATTTACATTTTCTAGCGTTTTTTGAAAATTTTTATTCTAGATTGTCCATGGCTGGACATGGTGGCTCACATCTTTAGATCCAGTACTCAGGGGGCAAAGGCAAATGGATTTCTGAGTTTGAGGCTTGTCTGGTCACATAGTGAGTTCCAGGCCAGCTAAGGCTACATAATGTAGAGAAAATAAACAATGATAAAAAATATCAGAGCAGAGACTTAAAGGACATCAGGTTTTGATATTGATTAAAGAATTATTTCATGCTGGGCCTTGGTGGTGCACGCCTTTAATCCCAGCACTTGGGAGGCAGAGGCAGTTGAGTTGAAGGCCAGCCTGGTCCACAGAGCGAGTTCCAGGACAGGCTCCAAAGCAATACAGAGAAACTCTGTCTCGAAAAACAAAACAGAGAGAGAGAGAGAGAGAGAGAGAGAGAGAGAGAGTATTTCATGCCATTTGGTACCATAGATGAATAGCTATTGAACTGAAGGATCAGTTAAGTGTCTATATAAAAAATTTGAGTTTTTTTAAAGATCAATATCATTATACTAGGAAACAGAGAATTTGTATTATAAGTGTAGCATATATTAATTATGTACATGAATCACATTAGTGCATATACAATGCCCTCTTCTGATCCCTGTGGGCATGTAAATGGTACACATACAAATATTCAGACAAAACACTCATACACATAAAAATCTTTAAAAAGAAAGAGATAGCAAATAGGAAAATCTTGAAAAAGGATTCCTTTATTTAGATGTATCTGGGAGTCTTGACTCCTTTACTAGAATAACAACCCAATAGAAGTTTGATGTAGAGGTGTTAAGAATCCAGTGTCCTAATCAATCTGTATGGCTTTCCCTTTTTAGGTATAAAAGATACACATGATTATCATTATAAAATTGAACAGTATCTTCTCTATCCATTCTTCAAAAGTTATAATGCCAGTTAGTCTGTTGTGTATGATCCTGGACCCTTTTCCATATATACCTAAAACAGACATTAACAGTTTGTTCATAATGTACCCACGTCTATATGAACTTAAAAATAATTTCATCCTAGCTGAGCATGTGCACATCCCTCTAAAGTTGGTGTGAGGAGCTGAAGCATGAGCATTGTTACATAGCCAGCCTGAACTGCACAGAGACTCTTATTTTCAAAGAAACAATAGATTTAAGCTACCATACTTACTATTCTGAATTTAAAAACCCTCCCCATTACATATCTCTATGGTGGTATGTATACACAAGTCTCCCATGTGGTTTCAAATCCTCATTGGCTGGGTGTGTGACACCACTGTTTCACTTTTTATGTGTGTTCACTACTCTAGCGGGAGTATCTTTGGAACCTGTGCTTTAGTGCATTTTGCTATTTTATTTCTACTATGGATCTCTCTGAATTGCAAAGGTCAGAGAACTTTAGGTAGAACTTTTACTTTCTATCTTGAACTAATGCCTGTGTTAATCTTCCTTGTTTCTTATTTCCAGAACTCTCAACCTGCTTCTGCACAGCCACTACTCCCAAGGAAAGACACAGTTCAAGGTGTGTTTTGTGTTTTCAACACCTATTCACTGGATGGATGAATTTACTTTGATTGGATTTAATGTTATAACTGCACATCAACATTGGTTAAAAAAAAAATCCAAATCTTTGTTTGGGGGAATAAGATAGTTCAGATAGCCTTAAATAAAATACTGCATCATGCAAATTACTGACTTAAAATATTTCTCAGTGTCATTATCATGGAACCCAGAATTAGAAAAAATTAAAGAGAGAGAGAGAGAGAGAGAGAGAGAGAGAGTGAGAGAGAGAGAGGAAGTGGGTCTGTTTTAGACAAAAGGAGTTTAAACATGTTGGTCAAAGTGCATTCCATTGTCCTGCTTGGATCTTTAGATGATTTTTTTCTTTCTTTTTTACAGCTAAATATAATTATATTACTTTTCTTCTTCCTTTTCCACTCTCTAGTCCTGCCATGAGCCCTCCCATCCCTTTGAAAATTGTGGTCTCTTTTACTTTGTTATTGTTATATATTATGCAGCACAGTCGTAAACATAAAAATACACAAACTGCTCTGTTTAATGTTGCTTATATGTATATGATTTCAGGACTGGCCACCTGGTGTTAAATAACCAGTTAGGGGGCTCATACCTGCGCAAGACTTTCTCTCAAGTTAATATATTTTTTGTTTGTGTTTTTGTTTTGTTTTAAGACAGGCTCTCACCATTTAGTTCTGGCTGCCTGGCACTTGATATGTAGACCAGCCTGGCCCCTGAAGCCACAGAGATCTGTCTACCTGTGCTCCCTAGTGCTAACAAATAGAAGCATTTAATCTATAAGTGAAAATATTAAATTCATTGTTAAAAAATGCTTCCCACAAACAAAAGTCAATGATTAGATAATGGCTTCACTGCCGAATTCTACCCAGCATTTAAAAATAAACATACTAGCATGTATTATTTCAGGTGATAATTCTGGACAGTTTGTTGAGGAATGAATTACCTTGAACAAATGATGCTGAGATAACTGTATATCCAAAAGAATGATACTGGGCTTACACTTCATTCAAAAATCTGTGTACAACCCTTTGAAACCTTAAGGTCAGTAGTTTTGAGGTCCCCAGAAATATGCTATCCAGGAGAATCATTTTAATACATATGGTTACCAAGTGGCTTCCTTAAGCAGCTCTGTCTGGATCCGGCATCCTCAGTTAGTTGACACCAACATTATGCTTTTTAATCTCCTGTCTCTCTTCCCTCTCCCCTGATGCTTTTAGAAGTGACAAAAGTCCGAAGAAATCTCTTCAACCAGGAAATGATTTCTCCTTCAAAGAGGGGACTGAAGCGGGGACTGCCTCGAAGCCATTCTGTATCAGCCTTGGACTGTCCACACAACAAACAGAACAACTTCAAGAAGACCAAAAGCAGTACATTTCAAGGTAACCACAAAAAGAATTTATAACAAATTTGCTGATAGCATTGTTCCCACTTTTATTCCCAAATTAGTAATGTGAGTCTTTCTGCTTTTTTTCTGGATTAGTTTAGCTAAAGGTTTGCTAGTTTTATTGATCTTTTGAAGAAACTTGAACTTTTCTTCATTGACTTTCTAGCCTCACTTTCTCCCTCTACTTCCTTTAATTTTAGTTTCTTGTTTCTTTCTTTTCTTTCTTCAAAGTTTTTGTTGTTGTTGTTTTGTTGTTGTTGTTCTTTGTTTTTAAGATAGCATCGATATGTAGGGTGTGAACAATAAGGTTGTCTCATATGGCTCTCTTTGGGTTCATCCTTCTTGGAGTCTATTAAACTTGAACAGTTAGGTTTGTGTCTTTCATCTGATTAAGGACATTTTTAGCAATTTTTCTTCAGGAAGGTTTTCTTCCACTTTGCCTTTTCACCTTCTAGAATCCCCATGATACATGTGTGACATACATGATAGTACAGTGTACATGGGTGCCTCAGTCCTTAATTTTCCTTTTTTTTTTTTCTGGTCAGGCTGTTTAATTTTATTTTTCCAGATTTACTGATTATTCTGCCTACTAAGATATGTGGTTGAATCCCTTTACAGAATTTCTTCTGGCATCTGTATTTTTTGGTGGTTGTTTTGAGTCAGTCTCATTTAACATAGGCTGGCCTCAAGCTTGCTATATCCCTAAGGATGACCTTTGATTTCTTACTTTCTTCTCTCTTTTTAACCCAAATTGTTTTTATCTTTTGGAAGTTTTTAAATTAAAATATAATTACATCATGTTCTCCCTTTCTTCCCTCCAGCCCCTCCAATAGTCCCTCCCTACTTCCTTTCAGATTTATGGTCTTTTTTTCTTTAATTATTATTAAATGTATGCACATAAATATATAAATACAACTTGTTGAGTCCATTTAGTGTTGCTTGTGTATATATGAGTTTAAGGCTGAGCAGTTGGTATTAGATAACCAAATACAGGGCAAATTCTGAGGGAGACTTAATTCTCCCTCTCTCAGCAGTCAGTAGTTATCTGTAGTTCTTTGTCTAGGCCTAGACGAAGGCCTGTGAGATTATATTAGCATGTCTATTGATGTCATTGTTCAGTTTTTATTTAAGCATTCATATTGTTGAAGCAGATTTTCTGGTCCTGGTTCTTATTAATCTTTCTACCCCCTCTTTGGTGATGTTTCACAAGCCTTAGGTATGGGGTTTGTGTTGTAGGTACACTAATTTGGGCAGAGTACCACACAATTAGTTGCTCTCAGCATTTTGGCTAGCTATCATTTTTTGTATTGGTCTCCATTAGCTGCGAAGAGATGCCCCTTTGATAAGAGGTGAGAGCTCTACTTACTTGTGGGTATAAGCATATATATGTAAAATGCTGGTGGGAATTACACTAGTTTAGTAAAGTAGTAGGCTCTCCTCTAAGACCCATGGTCTCACTAGCCCTAGATCGTTGGCTAAGTTTCTTTTACCAGGCATGAGTTCCCTCTTGTTGACTGGGACTTAGATAGTTGTTGGTTACTGCCAAGATAGGTGCCACTATTGCACCTTTAGGGATATTTTGCAGGGCTGGTCACTATTACAGTTCATAGGCTTCACAGCTGGATAGGACTGTGGATTACCTCCCTTCTTTGGCAGCTTTCATGGCAACTTCCAGTTCAATAAAAAGCTAGTCCTCAGAGAGGAGGCTTTTGGATCAGATCCAGTTCAGATCCTTTACATCCTTAAGTGGCACAAATTCCTATGTGTGCACATACACTAATATTTTATATATAATTTAATTAAATATAAAATAATATGACTTTTGTGGCTTTTACAATCATCTTTAATGTTATTTATCCCTCCTCCCGCCTTCAATATTGATCTCTCTTCTTCCCTCATTCTTAATTAAAGCTCCCTCCCCCCTATTTTTCAATTTCTCCCTTCATATCAATTCTGTTGCTCCTGTTTGTACTTCCTGAGTACTGGATTGGCTGCATGTGCTGTTGATTGAATCCAGGGCCTTCTATATACTATGTAGAAACTCTTCCAATTGAGCTATACCCCCATTTTTGGCTATGCTTTTTAGCTGCAGAAATCCTTTTGTTACTTTCTATTGCTTGCTGATGTTTTTATGTATTACTTCTTGGTTTCCTTAGTTTTTGTAACCTGTAGGTTCATAAGCTCATTGAGCATATTGAGACTCTAGGGTCTAGGCTACTTTAGAGATGGTTTCGGCCCACTTCTTTTTTCCTATGAATGAGCCATGCTTTACTGTGCTTTGTACACCTTTTTTGTTGTCATGAACTAGCTATTTGACAAATTATAATGTAAAACATTTATTGTTGTGTGTAACATTGAAGTTTGTATTTTATCTTTGTGTCTAGGCAATGACTTGCCAAAGATTTTCATAAATGTCCAGTCAGTTTATTGATAGATACTGTGGAAGAAAGCCACTGTGTTTGAGAGGGCTATAACTGACCCGATGTCTGTAGCCATCCCATAGGGATTTTTATATCTTACATTGGCTTGTGTCTTTTCTTTTTTTTTTCTTTTCTTTTCTTTTTTCTTGTAGCCATCCCATAGGAATTTTTATATCTTACATTGGCTTGTGTCTTTTCTTTTTTTTTTCTTTTTCTTTTCTTTTCTTTTTTTCTTTTCTTTTTTCTTTTTTTTTATAAGGTCTCACTGTTGTAGCCTTGGTCAACCCAGAGCTTGCTGTGTAGACCAGACTGGCCCCAAACTCACAGAGCTACACCTGCCTCTGCCTCCTGAGTGCTGGGACCAAAGGCTTGTATCAGATCTTTTTAATCAGTGCTGCTGACTACTCTATTATATTGAGCCCTGAAGGCATAGAATCTAGCTCAGAGTTTAGCCTCTTCTCTAATCAGGTAAAAAGCCACATGTAAATTCAGACTGCTCCCCTTCCCTTGCTGCTGCCTGAGAGAGTTGAGTGAGATTTATAGTTGACACTGTTTTTGTATCTTAGGTTATCACAAACTGCTGACTAAGAGTGTGGCTGAGACCCCAGTCCATAAGCAAATCTCCAGGCGACTGCTCCACAGACAAATCAAGGGCAGGTAAGTGACAGCCCAATCCTGACCCCTTTGGGCCACCGTCAGCACCATCTCATAGACAACTCTTTGCCTTCTCTTGACTTTCTTAGCTAATTCTTAAGCTTATTATTGATTATATTTTACTGACAGTAGACTAATATATACTATTCCATTCTGGCCTCTTACACTGGGTATAATAATTTTGTGATCGTGTACATTGCTTATATCAGTTCATCCCTTTTTATTATTAAGCAGTACTACATTAAATGGATCTTCTGCATTCACCTGTTGACATGGGGAAAGGTGCCAAGTAAGATTGGGGAGCCGAGTTAGCCTTTGTTGATGGATGTATAGCTAGGGCTTGTTTTTTTTTTCTGTAGTCACTAGTTGGACTAGGGAAATTACTGTCCCATTCTAAAAAAGAGCTGTCTTTTGGGAGGAAATTTTGTCTCAAACCTTTGATATTTGTTGTGAGCTTCTCCAGCACCCAGTCTAAGATATATGAACAGCAAAAATAAAACCCAAGGATCTCACTTCCCCTCCTTCTTCAGGTCCCCAGTTGGACTGTCTTTCTTTCCACAAGGCAGGGCGGTGGTGGCACACTCCTTTAATCTCAGCACTCTGGAGGCAGAGGCAAGCAGATCTCTGTGAGTTCGAGACCAGCCTGGTCTATAAGAACTAGTTCCAGAATAGCCTCCAAAGCGACAGAGAAACTCTGTCTTGAAAAACCAAAAAAAAAAAAAAAAAAGGATAGGTTAAAAAAAAATGCATCTACTATATATTGTCGCAACTCTGCCAGGACATTATATACAGATTTTACACATTTGTGTAATTTATGAGGGTCAGAAGTCCTTGACAGGCTGATGGACATTAAAGCTCTTCATAAACATGCCTCCTCTTTACTGTGACTGGATGATGTTTAGCTTACTTTTTTTTTTTTAGTACATTAATGGAATAAAAAAAATCTATTTTAAAGCTAATTTTGACATTGTCAAAATACATTTCACAGTAAAAGCATCCTAGGGGCTGGAGAGATGGCTTAGTGGTTAAGAGTACATAGTCTCTTACAGAGGACCTGAGTTCAATTCCCCACTCCCAGGACCATGTAGAATAATTTGCAACAACCTGTAACTCCAGCTCCAGGGGATCCAACAACTCTAGTCTCTGGGCACCAAACACATGTAGATAAGCATACACACATACACACATTTTTTTTTTATATCTTAAAAAATTCTATTTCCTGTGGTGATATATTATTTATCATTTAATAAAGCTTGCCGAAAGGATCAGAATGCAAAGCTAGCCACAGCCATAAAAGCTGGGCAATGGTAGCACAAATCCCAGGACTCAAGGGACAGAGGCAGATGGATCTCTGTGAGTTCAAGGTCACCCAGGGCTACATGAAAGTGAGTCAGTCCAAAAGAGAAACAGAGCTCATGCCTTTAATTCCAGCACTACAGAGGTATATAAGATAGGAGCAGGGCATTTATTATTCAGTCTGCAATTAGTCTCCAGCCATGGTAAGAACAGGATCTCTCCAGCCCTGGTAGGGGTAAGAGCTAGTGGCTAGCTACTTTGCTTCTCTGATCTTCATCTTGAAACCCAACATCTGTCTCTGGGTTTTTATTATTCATGTTACAATGTCCATCTATATATGGAGCAGAGCTTGGTGATGGTGTATTATATTATGCAAGATTCATGGTTCAATCCCCAGTTCTCACAGGGACAATAACTGTGAATGAGAGTGCTTACCAAAGCTAATTATCAATAATCTTAAGGTCCGGGCTCAAGGCTTTTGCTCAGGATTCAAAAAGAGACACCACAAAAAGCATAGGATCTAAGTCTAAGGGCTATAGAAAAGAATTTTCCCACACTACATTCATTCTATACATGTGTTCTTTATTGTACTCTCTTTACTGTTCTCTATTCTAATTCTTTTGTCCTGATGTCCTTAACTTCCTAGCTCTAGTTCTCTGTCTCAATTCTAATTCTCTGTTTCATTCTTCTTCAGTTTTCTTTCTTTCTTTCTTTCTTTTCTTTTCTTTTTTTTTTTTTTTTGGATTTTGAGATAGGGTTTCTCTGTTTAGCTTTGGAGGCTGTCCTGGCACTCACTCTGTAGACCAGGCTGGCCTCGAACTCACAGAGATCTGACTGCCTCTGCCTCCTGATTGCTGGGATTAAAGGCTGTGCCACCAACACCCGGCTATTCATTTTTCTACTTACTTATTTTTCCTACATTCTTTTTTTTTTATAAACATTTTAATTTTATTTATTATGTATACAATCTTCTGCCTGCATTCCAGAAGAGGACACCAGATCTCATTCAAGGTGGTTGTGAGCCACCATGTGGTTGCCCGGAATTGAACTCAGGAGCTCTAGAAGAAAGCAAGTGCTCTTAACCACTGAGCCATCTCTCCAGCCCTTTTTTCTACATTCTTATCCTTTTACATTTCTGCCAACTTCTCCCCTCAACTACTACCTCTCTCATCTCCTCTCCCAAATCTCTCTTCCCTTAGGGACTTGAAGCAAGATAAGAATTACACAGTTTCTCATTGGTCAGAAGCACATTCCTAAGCTACGTGATAGAGGCAAAGCCACTGGCTTGGCAACATAAGGTCCCAAGCCCATAGGAGCAAAACTGTGACCAGATGTGGAGGGCTCAGTGCCCAATGACAACCTTGAGACATAGATCCATTGTTAGTAGACTGGCAAGTAAAGAATTGGCATGCTTTTCTTAGTAACCTTGGTTGGACATCTACAGCTCTGAACTTGTACATAACTCTAAGGTTTCAAACTTATTATCTATTTACAAAAAGCCTTCCAGTCTAGTTTGAACTTGTTCTGAGGTGAAAGTGAACTAATTGTGTGCAGTTAGTGTGAGTAAGAACAAGGCTGGCTATTAAGAATCCACAGTCATTGTCGGACAAATAGATCGGTTATGAGGCATATCCCAATGTATATTCTATATATCAAAATTATATAGCCAAAGAAATCTTCTAGATCACCCACGAATAATGTGCCCAGCAGATGGAATATTTTCATGAGATAAACACGAAAGCAGTGGGAAAACACCCTAGGCTATTCTAGGGAAGAAGTGAAATTCTTAGGAAAGAATGAAGTGGCTCATGAGAGAAATTATAGACAGGAGGAGCAACTGGTTTCCATAGCCAGAGACCCCGTGACCTTGCCAAGTGATGCCATTCCATCAAGAGTCATACATCTGGTGGTTTGACCTGTTAAACACTAGTTAACACCTGCTTTATCTCTCATGACCCCTGACAGCTAATATTGTCAAACCCCAAGACTTTTGTAACTTTGTTAGTTGAGATGTTTTCTGTCTTTAATGTGTTTTTGTTGTTGCATTCTGTGTGTGTGTGTGTGTGTGTGTGTGTGAGAGAGAGAGAGAGAGAGAGAGAGAGAGAGAGAATGACAATGCATGTGGAGGTTGAAGACAGTTTTTTCAGAGTTGGTTCTATCCTTCCATTGTGTGAATCCTGGGGATAGAATGTGGGTTGTTGGACTTGACACAAGCACCTTACTCACTGAGCAGCTTGCCTGCCCCCATCTTTAATGTGTGAATCATGAGTGCTATTGACTCTTTGTGCTGTTGCTCTTCAAGGTCTTCTGATCCTGGTCCTGATATTCATGTAGTTGAAGAGTCTCCTGTAAAAGAGGATGGTGAGCATATATATTATCTACTCTTTTTGCATACTATCTAGCTTCAACAAAAGCTTTTCTGTGTTTTTCACTTAGCATATCCTTAAATACTCTGGATCCAGCATACATGTATATGGATGTTGTTTTATAGAAAATGTATTAAATTTAAATTTCTGGAGAAAGAAATACTTTTACAGAATAGAAATAGGCTTGGTGTGAGGATTCAACTTCAATGTTATACAAAGTGCTGTGGCATTTTAAAGTGTGTCTTAATAAGAACAGGTGTTCAAAACTACTTTCTCTTTTTGTTTGTTTTGTTTTTCAAGACAGGGTTTCTGTGTAGAAGCCCTGGCTGTCCTGGAAATTGCTTTGTAGACCAGGCTGGCCTCTACCTTCCAAGTGCTGGGATTAAAGGTGTATGCCACCATTGCCTGGCTCAAAGACTACTTTCTTAAATTGTTTAAGTAAGTAGTGTTTGTGGCAGAAAAATGGCTTAATAAACCCATCACTCAAAAAATACTTTTAACACATTTTAGTGTATATTTTTCCTAGACAAAAATATATGTAATTACATATAGAAAACCTAGTTAAGCTGGGCATGGTGGCTCACGCCTTTAATCCCAACTTTACCATTCTGTAGGCAGAGGCAAGTGGATCTTTGTGAGTCCAAGGCCAGCCTGGTTTACACAAAGAGTTCCGGGGCAAGCAAAGGTACATAACAAAGAGACTCTGTCTCAATAAACAAACCTAGTTTTTTACAAAAGTCACATTATTGTTCTTTCTGTCATGCTTAGAAGTCAATTTATGAGACTTGTAAAGGAATAAGTTCATGGATCATTGTGTTCTACCACCTTGGTAGGGCTGTATATCAGTCTCTTGTACATTTTCAGACACTTCAGTTGCCTCTAAAAGCCACTGTTGAATCTCTGGTGTCACAGAATCATACCTGCTGTGCAGACACTGTGGGGAGGAGATGCTAAATCTGAAGTCCCTCCTGTTTACCAGCTCTGCTTCTGGTTTTGCAGAAATAAGTTTGAGACGAAGTCCTCGAATCAAACAGTTGTTGTTTAACAGAACAAATTCTGGCTCCTTCTATTCTGTGTCTCAGCCAAAGTCTCGAAGTGTGCAAAGACTCCACTCATTCCAGCAGAAGTCAGGTAATGTGGGCCTGTCTGTCAAATGAATGTTTTGGGGAAAGGAAGCATGCAATTTGACATTTTCTCAACGTTTCAGAAGACTAAGATTAGCAGTCAGTAATCAAGGCTAGATTACAATCCTTGGCCTGTAACCATTCTTCCCTTGGATTCCTACAGCTGGTCATTCACACTGCTGTAGTAGGTAACTCATTCACTCCCACACACAATTGCCCAGGTAAAGGGTAGGTAGTATCAGTTTCAGTCTTCATTCTTTTATCCATTTTTATCTTGGCTAATAGATATGTTTTTTACACTTATACTGAAACAACAATGTATTTATACTTAAAATAAGTTATTTCAGTTGCTTATATTTCCTAAAATAAGGTTAAAATCCAGAAAGATAGGGCCTACAGAGGTGGCTTAGTTGTTAAGAACACTGGCTGCTCTTACAAAAGACTGGGGGTTCCCAGTACCCACATGTAGCTAACAACTGTCTGTACGTCTAGTTCCAGAGGATCCAGTATCCTCTCTGGCTGCCTCAGTCACTACATGCACATGATGCACAGACTTATATAGACAAAAAACCTATACACGTAATAAAATAAAAATAAGTATTTTTTTTTAGTAAGGCAGCAATCATTGCAGTTGTATACATCATCAATTGGGATTTGCCACCCTAACTGGTCTCAAAAACATTGTCTTTCTTGTTTTAATAATGATGGGATCACTGGACATAGTGAAGCACAGCTTTAATCCCAGCACTGGGAAGGCAGAGGCAGGTGGATCTCTGCAAGGTTGAGGCCAGCCTGGTCTACATAGTGAGTTCCAGGATAACCAGTGCTACATAGAGAGACCCTGTCTCAACCAAAGAAAAATAGTGGGAGGGCAATTCTTGAGAAAGAATTAAATGCTGTTTTTGACTTGCAGACCAAAGAGAAAATTTTCCAGTCCAAAGTAATCAATCTCCTAAAACACTTCTTTTTGGGGCATTATCTGAGATCCCTGGCTCCTCCAAAAAGGGCTCGGCTCGAATTAGAAAGTCCTCAAGAAGCATTTTGGATTCTGAGATATCTACCGCTTACCAGGTATAAACTTTCTATAATGTTTAAAATGGTACAGTCTTGGGGAACATAGAGACATGGCTGAAGAAGCAGGTGTCCAGTAGAAAAAAGAAAACTGGGAATCTGTAGAGAATAAAAGATGTGAGCAGGGTGGGGTGGCTTTAATCCCAGCTCTTGGGAGGCAGACATAGGCATATCTCTGAGTTTGAGGCCAGTCTGGTCTACATAGTGAGTTCCAGGACAATCAGGACTATGTAAAGAAACCTGTCTCAAAAAAACCAAAAAGGTCTGGGTGGCAGGGTTAGGCTGCATGAATAGTTGCTGGGAGCTGGGGTTTAAAGCAGCAGGTTTGGCTGAGGTCATGGCAGTGAGGAGACAGCAGTGCTATCGACTTCTTCTTTTGGCTCTGTCTACCATGTGTATGATCACTTCAGAGACTTTTCTAGTTTCTACCTTCTTTCATCCGGTCCCATTTGACTGGCAGTTGCTCTTCATGTCTCTCTCAGGACCAAGCCACTGAGTGAAGTCCTGCCTGTCTTGGTACAGACGTTTGTGCTCACCTACCTCTCCTCCATCCCTCCTAGTCCCTACCCTCTTCAGTTCTACCTGGAATATTTTGTTAGCCATCCTCCATTTGGATCAAACTAGCCTTTCTGAAAGATCAATCTGCCAGCTGGCATGCTTGCTAAAGCAAAGTTCCCTAAGTTTTCCTAAAGCAGAGCCTTTGTGTTCAGAGATCATCTTTTTTTTTTTTTTTTTTAAATCATTGAAACTGCTTCATTGTTAGAGGATGCCACAGAGCTATATGACCATGCCAGTCTCCCCAGGCAATCCCCTATGTTCTCATGGGTCTACCATGTCCATATGCTGGCCTGAGCCCTCCCCACTTGATGCTGTTACTACTCAGACTGTATCTAAAAAGCTACTGGTTTTCATATTTCTGCTTTTGTTTGTGCTGTTTTCTGTAAATCAAGTGTCTTCTGTTCTACTTTTCCAGTCTCTGCCTTCCCTTGTAGAGGTCCATTCTTTTTTTCTATTAGTATAGTGTGTGTGTGTGTGTGTGTGTGTGTGTGTGTGTGTGTGTGTAAAGTGGTATGTGTATGTCATAGTACATTCGAGAAGGTCAGAGGATAGCTCAGGATTTGGTTCTTTGTTCCTACCTTTATGAGGGACCCAGGGATCAAACTTAAGTTGCCAGGTTTGTATGGAAGCACCTTTACCTCAGCTCAGCCATCCTGTTGGCCCAGGTATCCATTCTTGAATACCTGATTCGTAAGTCATTCTTCCCTGTCCCTCAGCTGGGTTACACAGCCTCTTCTTTGCTTTCTGCATGTCCCTGCCAACTCAACATGAAAACCAGTTAGCCTGGGCTTCCCTTAAGACAGTCATGCTATAGAAAGATGGGTATTTGACTGCCTCACCTTGTAGAATTTTTAGCTACATTGTTAATAAAAAGGAAGGAAATTTTTGGTTTGGGAGTAGCCTTTCTGAGACATCATTGTTGCTGTGCCTATGTATTTGTATACCCTATTGCCCCCACCTCCTTTATCCAGGAAAAGTGTACCAGTAAAATCTGAGTAATGTTTGGGAGAGGAAAACAGGTCACTTTTTTTTTATTAATTTATTTTTTACATTTCAATCCCAGTTCCCCCTCCTTCCTCTCCTCCCATTTCCTACCACCTTTCCCCACTCCACCTTCCATCTGCTCCTCAGAGAGGGTAAAACCTCCCCTAAGAAGTCTTCTAAGTCTGTCCCATCATCTTGTTGAGGCAGGAACAAGGCACCTCTCCACCCTCTACACCCCTGTATCTAGGCTGAACAAGGTTTCTGTCCATGTAGAATGGGCTCCACTAAGTCAGTTTGTGCCTTAGAGTTAGGTCTTAGACCCATTGCCAGTGGCCTCATATATTGTCCCAGTTGCACCATTATTATAATAGTCAGTCTCTGAAATAAACATTTTTTTTTTTTCTTTTCAGACTCCCAAAAAGAGTAACCAAAAATCTCCAAACTTTCCGAAGACTACACCAAGAAGGAGGTTCCCTCGTATGGTACAGACCTCACTGTGCACTCCAGAAAGACTACAAAACTCCCCTACAAAAATAACTCCAGCTGAGGGGGGCATTTCTGAGGCATTCTCCTCACATAGTTACAGTTCACCATTGGCATCAAAGGTCACTCCCCAAAAGAGAGTCTCCCCAACAGAACAGACCTCTCCTCTTCTCACAGAGCTGCCCAGCACACCCAGGGGGCCAGACGTCCAACTACCTCGATGCTTGTCGGACTGTGCATGGCTAAACTCAGTGAATTCCAGTCCAGAAAGCCCTTATTGTCCCCCATCCCCACCTTGCCTGACTGCCGAATCTCAGAGTCAGTGTCTAAGCCCTGCAAGATACTTCAGAACACCTCCACGTACAGCCCTTGCTGGCACACCTGAGCATCAGAAGCCTGGACAGCTCTCTCTCTCTAGGGCCTCTCAGGCACAGGAACCTGCACAGGAACTACAGGAGAAAGCTGTCAAAATCCCCAAGCAGCCAACAGACCCCATTACTTCTTCCCAACCTCTTTCTCCTAAGGAACACTTTACTTCTGGTTGTGATGGCTCCCAGCATCAGCCTAGGAAATCATCAGCCTTCCCTCCTCCTGGAGAACTAAGTTGGAAATCACACCCTACGTCACCCAGCACAGCTACACCTGTCTCTTACCTTGTTCCCTCAACTCCTCCCAGAACCCCACGAAGAATGACCTCCCACCCCATCCCCCCTTCTCCGCCATCTAAGCTTAGGAGACTATGGAGAAAGACCTCTAGTCCTCAAGACTTCCCAGAGTGCCAGCCTGGACCCTCTGCTGCTCCAGTGCTTGAGGCAGCTACCAGCCCAGGCGCCATCACAGGCTCCAAAGGACAACAATCTTGTGAAGGACAGAGCGCTGGCTTCAGGAATGACTGGCAGGTATCCTCTCCTGTGCTCATTGCAAGGGACACAGAGCACCTTCCTCTGATTGGTGAAGCCCAACTCCATAGCCTTGAGAGCCATGAGGTAAAAAATGCCATCTTGCCAGAAGGTGAGGCGCCAAAGACCACCGTTGCTGATGAACCTCCCTCTGTGTCTGGCCCTGGGATTCTTCCGCCTGTCCCTTCTTATGTGTCCAGCTCCCCTGAGCTGCTGCCCTATGGCATGGCAGATGGAAGGCAGAGCAAGACTGCTGCTCAGCAGGGGAGCCCACAAGCTTCGGAGGCCACTGGCAGCCCTCAGACCTATGAGGTTGAGATGGAGATGCAATCTTCTGGCCTTCCCAAGCTCCGAATTAAAAAAATAGACCCTGGAGCTCTTCCAGAAGTTGAGGCCCTAGGAAACGACAGCCCTCTGGGAGAGGAGTGCACCCTCCCTGCTCTCAACATGCCCAAGGCCAATAAGTCCTCCAGTAGAGCTGAGCACACCTATTTGTCACCCCCTTGCCTCCTCCCCTCACACAGCACACCTGGCAAGAGTGGGGGGCAAACCTTCATCTGTCAGTCTTGTACTCCCTCCCGCTGTCCACCCAGTACCCCATCTCCATTTCAAGCAGATGTTGGGGTTTCTTGGACACCATCCCCCAAGCAAAGTGGGAAGACCACTCCTGAAATTATCAAAGACTGGCCCCGAAGGAAGCGGGCGGTGGACTGCAGTGCTGGGCCCTTTGCTGGGAGAGGCGAGGCCAATGCAGACTTCCCTGGGGCTTCATCACTGCTTGAGCCTGAGCCTGAGCCTGAGGGAAAGGAGCAAAACCTTGAACATCACCTCTCTAAGGTTCTTGTCTTGGAGGATTTTGAACTAGAGGGGGTTTGTCAATTGCCAGACCAGTCACCTCCCAAAGATAGTGTGTCTAAGGCTGAGGAAGCCTTCTCCTGGGGACAGTTTGAACTAGGCTCCAGAAAGAGATACCTGTCTGCCAAGGAAGAAGCTGAATACGATGTCAAAAGGGTCTGTGATTCCCTGAGTGAAGATCCCCAAGCTAGCAAGCGTGGAGAGTGGTCTCCACATTGGAGGACACCACCACTCCGCTCTGTAGGGGAAGATGAGGTATTTGTTTCTGGTGAGTTTTGTTTTCAAACCTATATGTGGTGTGTTTTCCCTTGGGCAGAGTGGTGAGGTGTTTGGAGCTGTGGGTGGCCTGGAGTCTTGTGGGCCTGCAACTTACCTTGTGGCATCTCCTTAGGCTCCACCCCACCCTCTGGCTGCATGGTACGGAGCTGCCTCTCTGCCAGTGGTCTGCAGGCCCTCACACAGTCTCCGCTGCTATTCCAGGGAAGAACACCATCCTCTCACAGCAAGGACACCAGAGGTAACCTGCCTCTTAAAAGTCCCATGTGCTTACCAGGGCTGGGCCCCCCTGTGAGTTTTTCTTGCATGCAGAGTGTAGGAAGATGGTTTTGACCCTGCAGTGTCATGTTCCCTTCCCAGAGAGGCTTCGTGGTGGACTTGGGACATCTGAAGAGAACCCTCTGTAAAATCCAACCAAACTCACTCAGATGCTAGGAGTGGTGTGCATGTCATGACACTGCTGGTTTGGGTTGGACAGCACAAGTGACAGTGATCAGGCCAGTCACTTTCAGCCATGCAAAGTATCATAAACCCCTCTAATCCAATCTAAAAGAAAGCCTTATGCGTGGACACACTGCATTTCCAGTGGCTTGTTACTGTCACACATACCCCTTATAACAGGTGTAGGTGACACTCTTGAGTCCACTCTTGTAAGACCCTCTGTGGTTAGAGCATGCTGTCTTTTATTCAGGCCTTACTGTTCTCTGCTTTCCCCTAGATGAGGAGGTGGATGTGTTCCCCTCCACTACCGAGGAGTCTCCTTTCAGCCAAGCCTTCTCCCGGAGACGGGCTTTCAGGACCTACACGAGGAAGAAGCTCATTAGCTAGCCCTGGTAGAACATAGCTGGAGGATTCAGTGAGGAACACTGTGAGCCTGGCCAGATCCCTTGCATTCCTGGAGTGGTACTCCACAGTGGCTTTCTATGGATGTGGAAATGATGCCAAGATCATACCACTAACCCCAGTAATGTGCCCAAACAAGAGTGGCCAGAACTTAATGGAACTGAGAAAGTTCACAAGCAGCTATGTCCCCTGTGGACTTAAAGACCTTGGGAACTTCACAGGGTGTGGTCCTATGCCTATAGTCCCGGCACTTGGGAGGTGGGGGCAAAAGGCTCAGAAGATTCTGACTGCATAGCAAGTACAAGGACAGCCTGGGCTATATGAAACCCTGTCTCAAAAGCACAGCAAAAAGACATCAAGGACCTTGAGCCTTTTCCCCAGCCACTGTTGAACTTACCACTGGAATGCCTCATGGTCTTCAGATTCTTATCATGGGCTTCATCTGGGGCCAGACCCTGGCCCTTTGGGAAAGGTTAGGAATCTGATGGGGCCGCAGGGTAGCTGGTACTATAACTCAAGCAGACTGGGAGTCCAGACAGCAAGCAAGAATCCTATTCCAGTGCCTCCATACCATGCATGACCTTGGTGATTCAGAGGACCACTGCCACACTGGAAAATGGAGAAAAGAACCCTTGGCATAGTCCCTTGAGGTGTTTGCCATAAGGCTTGAGTTCTCTGACACAAGCGGTACATCATAAACTAAGACCCATATGTGAAAGACTACTACGCCAAAAAACTCAGTGACAGTAAAGTCATCCTGGCTACTTAGCTTTCAGTGTGAGTGATCATATTGCAGGGTCTGCCCCGAGAGCCAGCCACCTCATGGCAGGTCTTAGCCTGATACATGTTTGACACCCATGTTGACTTGTAATCAACTAAGCCAACTTGCTGTGGAGTCTTGGCAGGAGCCTCACTTGCAGTGAGGGCTGCTTTGGTACCTTTTGTCTCCCCAGAAGGTTCAACCTTTTGTGGCCCCAGGGCTCATTCTTCCCACTGTCAGATTCCAAGTAAAAACTCCCATTTCTCCTTTCAGAGGTGTTCACTTTGTGTGGTGGAGGTAAACAACTAAAAATGAAGAGAAGGCCGACCTGGAGTGCCTGCCTGGGTTCAGTTCCCAGTTCTGAAGAAAGAAGAGGCTTCAGGTTGGCTCAGGCTTTCAGAGGTCAAAGTTCATGGTTATTTGTCCCTAACTTGGGTCCTATGCACTGTACTGGCAGTGAGGCAACCAGGAAGCAGAGAGGAAGGGCAGGACTCCAATATCCCCTTCAAGGATGCTCTCCAGTAACCTAACTTCCACTAGACTCCTACTCCGATAGGGTCCTCAGCGGAGGACCAGCCTTCAGGAGTCCTTAGGGACACATTTAGGATGTAAACCATATGAGATTATTCCTGTTTATTATTAAATGATATTTTACATTTTTCTAGAAATGTTAATAACTTTACTAGTTCCCTCATCTACATAAGACCACTGAAGCCTTAATCCTGTTGCCACTGATCATTTTGTGACAAGTCTTGGATGATCTCCAGATTTGCCTCACAAAAAAAGGTTGCTGTCAGATACTACAGCGTAAAGGAAGAGGGCAGTAGGAATTTGCCTTTTTTTTTTTTTTTTTTAAGGCTGCTGAGGATTTTATGCACAAGGTCCTAGGGTTGATCCCCAGTATCACAGTGGAAAAGTGTCCAGTTCTTTCGGGCTGTGTCCCAAATTTGCTGACTCCAATTAATGTAAAGATGAAACTCTGGATTTACAGTGTGAGGTAAGGGCTGTCCTTCACAGATGCAAAACAGGCAGCCTCTCCTCTCAGCAGGACTGGAATCAGAGGCAGGGCCTGGCCAAGGCCTACAAAGGGTTTTTCCTGACATCGATCATCCACGGGCTGGTTCTTCGGGGTTCCCACCGGGGCTTAGGCAAAGGTCCAAAGTTCCAGGAGAGGCCCAATTCACCCACAGGTGGCACCCGCCCTCCTGAGGGCTCGGTTGTTTCCCGGGCCCTCAGCTCCTCAGAGGAGCTCTGCTCACTGCACAAGCTCGAGCGTTTCCATGTCAGGGGTAGTGGGGCATGGACCAAGTCCCGAGTCTCATCCCAGGCACGGGGTGCCCCCTCCAAAAGGGAGGACTGCCAGAGAGCTTCAGGAGCTGCTGGGTGGAGCCCATCTTCATTTCCAAGCCCTTGTCTGTTTTCCTGGCAGAGGCTTCTCCTCTCACCACCTGTCACAGAACAGCATCTTTGTCAGACATGGAGGTAGACCAAAAGTCCCCACACCCAGCTTCCCAATGCCCCTAAAGGAGCAACTTGAAATGAGCTGAGAGAAGCACACGAGACAAGTGGGTGTGGCGGCACAGGCCTGTAGGCCCTTTGGCTATGTAGGAGTTTGAGGTTTGACTTCCCAGTGGGGCACACTCAAACTGGGCACCAGTGTTTACCCCGGCTCTGGCCTGCTGTATTTCCTGCACTGAGCTTCTGTTTCAGCTCCTGGTTTATCCACATGTGTCGGCCCAGTTCCTTCTCCAGAGCTTGAATCCGGGCCTCATATTGCCTCTTGCTGTCTGCTAAGCCCTCACCAAGGTGGTCTGATGTGGAAAGACAGAATTCATTAGTGAGGGGCTGTGGGCAGGGCACCTTGGCTCTGAGGCAGTCAGGTTATGGGTAGAGCACCAGCATCGCCCAGGCCTCACCTCGACCCTGCTGGAGGAGCAGCTGCACATTCTGCTCATGTTCTTTCTGCTGCAAGGTTAGCTGGCGGTCCATCTCCAGGCGCTGCCGTTCCAGCGCCACCTCCAGCCAGTACACCAGCCGCTGCTGCTCCTCCAACTGCATTTCAAGCTCCGAGAAGGCAATCTGTTGCTGGTGTTGCTCCTCTCGGAGTGTCACCACCTGCCCAAGACCAGCCAGGCTCAGCCACCAAAGTAATCCTCAACCAGTTGGTAAACGTGGTCACAAGGAAATCACCAGGTCTTTCCTACTCATTACACAGTGCTTTAGACAGTGAACTCCCAACAATCAGAGCTAGCTCTCCAGGTAGAACTTACCACAGACCTTTCCCCACCACACAGTACTGAGCTGCTAGACAGTGGAACTGTGCAATTGCATCCAGACAAGGATTTCTCAAAGAATAAGGCATTAGGGACTGCCTATTATGCAACATTTAGCAACATCTCTGGCCTCCTCCACCCACCCCAAATGCCAACCAAAAATACCTCAAGATATATCCCTAGGGGGGAAAAAACAGTCCCTCTTAAAATCCCTTTAATATAGACCAAGGCCTTCAGATCAGAAGGAGAGGAGACTGAGTCTTGGGCTTCACTAAGATAGTTTCAAAGAGACTGGAGAGTAAAGATGACCCTGACCCTGTCCCCTCATCTGGGAGGAAGGGACAAACTTCTTGGAGTTGCCAGCAGAACCTCCTGCAACAAGCTAGAGGAAGCAGACCCAAGGGGTTTGTGTTGGTAATTCACCTTGTCAAAATACTTGCACAGCAGGGCTCTGGTCTCTGAGGAAGAGAGGTAGCTGAGCTTGGCCATGAGATTCATCTCACACTGGGACAGCAAGGAGGCCGAAGCCCGTAGCACCCGCTGGCGGCATGTGATAGCCTCATTCTTGTACTCAATGGCAGCATCCAGGGCCTCGATGGCTTCATCCAGCTGGAACAGTGTCCTCTCCTCCTGTGGGAACAGGTGCATGCATGGAGGAAGAGTATCAGAGTCCTGGGCAGACAACAGCCAACACACAGACACAACTGAGCCTTCAGTGTCCCCCGACCTAAGAATGTCTTGAACATATCAAAAGTGCCCCGCACTGCAGCAGCAATAGGGACACTATTGAAAGTGTGCAATGTTGTGTTCTCAAGTGCGTAACCCCTTTCAGGATAAGTTTGGTGAGCTCCAGAGAGCTAAGCCTGGACTACGTAAGACCCCAGACAAGCAGGGGCAAGCTTACGCAGTGTGGGCTTTCTCTGTTCAAAGGAAGAACGCTGTATATACAGCACAGTGCAGGTGTCTAGTTCCACTGAAAGGGAGGTGAGAAGTCCATAGGGTCTCACATCCATCAAGGGGGCAGCTCACCCACTGAAAGGGAGGTGAGAAGTCCATAGGGTCTCACATCCATCAAGGGGATTTAATCTACCTTTCGAGGCTTAACACACATGAGGGCACTTTTCTCCTAAAGCAGCAAGACCAGCACTGACACAGCCAGAGCAGGGAACAGAGGATGGCAGAAAGACAGGTGGACAAGGAATGGATCATAGAGCTGAAGCATAGGGACAGAGCTGGGTGGCCACCCAGTGGCCATACCTCAGGTGACAGCAGGCTTCCTTGCCGCAGCTTGCTATCAATCTCTAGGCGTTGCTTCAGCAGTGAGTCCTTCTCCTGGCGCAGGGTGTCTATCTCCCCGCGGATCTGCTGCTGGTTCTGGGCACTGCCTTGCCGCAGCTGCCCGCTCTTCTCAGATAGCTCCTTCTCCAAGTGTTCTAGACGGCTGGACACGCGCACGATGTCCTCATTTAGGGCCTGAGGCAGCACCACCAGTGATCAGAGAAGGAATAGGCACTGTCCTCACAGAGGACAGAGAAAGGGCCCAGCTGGCTCAATGGATGCTAAGGAGGATGTGGGTCTTTCCCTGGCCTACCTGTAACCCAGATGTTTGCTCAGGGATCAGCGCCCTTTAAAGGACCAGAACATCTGAGGAAGAGATGACCCAGAGGAGGACTGCGCAAGCAGAGAGAAAAGGCTCTAATGTCAAGAAGCTGGTGTGCAGGAGGCTGCCAGTGAGGAGACTTGGCTGGAGAGGTGGGACTATGAGAAACTGGCCCTTCCTGGATGCTTGTGTAGAAGGAAGCAAGAGTGCCTGTGTCCAAAGGATATTGTAGATCACCTAATGACTTCTAGGCCTTTCAGATTGCTGTGTTCCATGATGACAGCGACAGGAACCCCGGTCTGAATGTCTACTACCCTTCAGGAATCTGGCTTTGATCCAAGCACCCAGATTAAAACAGTCCTAGGTTTGGGTGTGACACAGTCCCACTAAATTTTCTTGGCCACATTCTGATCCCATCTGACAGAAAAATGAGGTGGCTCAGCAGCTGGGCTTCCTTTTAAAGAGGAGGTAATCATGCCAGACACAGGTGGATTCATAGCCTATCTCCCCCAAAGCTGGGATTTAGTAGGCCATACCACTTTCTACACCTGTTCCTCATTTTGTCCATGTGGATCCCAAAGTGGTGTTTGCAAAGTGTGAAATGGACTTTGGGGTGGATACCAATGTCTCATACAATAGTTCCTGTAACAGTCTAAACCGTCTAAAGCCTTTGGGTTCTTGAAAACCCATAGGATACAGCCCAGAGGGCATAGCTTCCCCTGTCTCACCTGGCAAGAACATCAAAGAACCTCACCTACCTACGTACTGCCTTGCAGGGCCTCACCTGGCCAGGAATCTTGTGGTGGGGGCTCACCTGGCTGGACCTCAGGCGCTTGCTCTCTAGCCCTGTCTTCTCCTGTATCAGGGCCTCCTTCTTGGCCAGGATGACCTCCCGTTTGTGGAGCTCTTGTCCTAACTCCTCCAGCGCCCGCCGCTGCTGCAGCACCTTCTCCATCTCCTGGTCCAGCCACTTCTTCTGCTCCTCAATCTTCTGAGGGATTGTAGGGGAGACAGGGATCTCAGTACCTGCCTCTAACTAGAGCCATTACAAAAGGTCCCATGGAGAGAGCAGCAGATCCCATAGCAAATCTCCTGTGGACCCTAGCAATGAACAGCTGCCAGTCTCATGGGACATAAGCTCAGCCCAGCCAAACCTGCTGTTGCTCCAGGCTGACCACAGAGCCATTGCTGCCACTGCGCCTCTTCCTCTGGAAGGCTGCAATCTCTTCCGTCTTGATTTTCAGGATCTTCTGCTGTTGCTCATGCTTCAGTTCCAGTTCCTGTAGGAGGAAGCCCAGTGAGAGGGGAGGAGTGTGGTGGAGAGAAGGCCATGACATGTGCCCATAGCCTCGAGTTTCCTATAAGCTCAGAGGACAAACCATTCTGGAGAACCCACAGGAACCTGCTTCTAAGATCATGTAGCTGTGAGTAGCAGGAATTAGACAGACCCCTCACCGGGTCAGCCAGAGCCTGACCTTGACCCGATGCTGCCGTTTGTTCATCTCTGTCTCCAGGCGCCGCTTCTGCTCTGTTTCCTCTCGGAGCCGCCTCTGCAGCTGCCCCTGCTGTCGCCGCATGAGCTGCACGTTTCTCTCCAGCTCCTGCAGCCGTGTCTCACTTTGAGCCGACAGTGACACTAGCCGCTCTGTTGCCTGCTTCTTCTCCTTCAGTACCTGGGACCCACACAGCAGTCATGGGGCTTATAAGGAGGGTGGCACAGTGCTTGGCACTTACCAAGGGAGGGCAGGACGAACAGGTGGGTGAACAGAAGGACACAAGGAAAGGGGAAAACGTAGGTGGATGGTAGACTACTGACAACAGAATACTAGTGACAGTAGCTACAACTTTTACTATTCTTTGGGTGAGTTATGCTAGATACTCTGCACATAGTAACTGATCTAACAAAGGTATGGGAAAGTCTGCCTACTGGACTGGCAAAATGATTCAGTGGGTGAAAAGTGCTTGCTGCCAAGCCCCAATGACTGATTTAAGTTTGAGCCTTGGGACCCACATAGTGGAAGGAGAGAACCAGCACCAAAAGGTGTTCTGTGAACTATACACACACATACACACACACACTGTGGCACACTTAAACATATACACACACACTGGCACACTTATATATATACACACACATACAATAAATAAGGAAGCAGGCACTAAGAGGTTAGGAAGTTGATCAAGAACCCACAGCTAGGGGCTGGAGACTTGGATCAGTGGTTAAGAGCACAGGGTTGGGTTCCCAGCACCTACATGTGCTCACAACCGTCAATAACTCTAGTTCCAGAGAATTAATGCACTCTTCTGGCTTCCACAGGTACAAGCACACATGCATTGCACAGATATTCATTCAGGCAAAACACTCATACACATAAAAATAAGTAAGTCTTAAGGAAGAGGAAAAAAAAAAAAGCCAGGCATGGTTCCACACACCTTTAATACAAGCACTTGGGAGGCAGAGGCAGGTGGATCTCTGGAAGTTGGAGGCCAGCCTGGAATTCTACAAATGGAATTCCAAGACAGGTAGGACAGAGCAGCCAGCACTTGGGAGGCAGAGGCAGGTGGATCTCTGTAAGTTGGAGGCCAGCCTGGAATTCTACAAATGGAATTCCAAGACAGGTAGGGCAACACAGAGAAACCCCATCTCGAAAAACAAAGACAGAACCAGGTTTTTTGTGTTTTGTTTGTTTGTTTGTTTGTTTTTAAGATTTATTTATTTATTATGTATACAGTGTTCTGCAGAAGAGGGCACCAGACTACATTATAGATGGTTGTGATCCACCATGTGGTTACTGAGAATTGAACTCAGGACCTCTGGAAGAACGGGCAGTGCTCTTAATCCCTGAGCCATCTCTCCAGCCCCAGAACCGGGTTTTAAAGCCAGTCAGGTTCCAGAGCCCAAATTCTCACCCATTCTACCAGATCATCTCTTGGGCTGGAACTGCGAAAGGAAGAAAGGAGGGGGGTGAATAGAGGGGCAGATGGGTAGGTGGAGAGGCAGCTGGGATCATCTGAAGATAAAGGCTAGGATGGACAGGGCTGCAGGCTGAACTGTCTTCCCCACACTCTAAGTGTGACCGCATTTAGAAATGGGATGGCCTTTAATGAAGCTATTACACATAAATGAAGGCCTGAGGGTGACCCTAACCTAGCATACAGACATCTTATAAAAGGAGAGACACTGAGAATGCAGGTGCACAGGAAAGGCGGACACACAGACAGACAGAAGGACAGCCATCCACAAGCCTCAGGAGGCCTCAGGACAAGCTAGACCTGTGGAAGCCTTGAGTTTGGATATCTAGCCTCCAGTGTGAGAGGCTGAAGCACTGCTGCACAACGGCCCTCCCAGCAGTGGAATCCTGCTCTAACAGCACAAGCAGATGAATATGAACTGCTCAAGGGGATGGAGGATGGGCCCACGCAGGGACACGAACAATCGTCTGATAGAAGGCTAAACTAGGCCTTGGGGATGGTGCTCAGTGTTGGCACTTTCTATTATACTCAAGGCCTTAGGTTTTCCTTCCCAGAAAAAAGCAAGCAAGCTAAATTAATGAGAGTCAGATGGACACCTACACTGACAAATAGGAAAGACGGTGGGATGGAAGCTAAGTGAAGAGAAAGCTGGGATTGTGGATGCATGCGTGATGGATGGAAGTGCTGTGAGCTGAAGGAAATTTTCCTTAGATGTCTGCTGTTTCAAGGTTGGCAGGCAGCAACCACCTCTCTATTCCTGTGGTACTGAAGCTTCGCTGATTCAAGCTTACATATGACACCAGCCTAGAGGCCAGGAGGAGTGACTGCCATTATCGGGGGCTGAACGGGAGGTTCTGAGTACATACAGATTCCAGGCCCATAATCCTGTTCCCAGAGACCCCAACTGGGGAACCCCAACACTGACCTGCACCTGGCTTTGAGCTGCAGCCACTCTCTTGCGGAATTCCTGAAGCCTGGACCGCTCGCTGGCATCCTGGGGCTCCCTGCCCTCCAGTTCACGAAGCTGCCTCTGCCCTTCGTACAACTCTGCCCTCACACGCTCAGCCTCCTGCTCCAGCTCCCGGATGCGCTGGCTGTGCTGGCGGTTCAGGGCCTGGGCCGCCTTCCCTGGAAGAATGTGGGTCCAAAGTGGCATAGGCAGACCCCTTCCCAGAGTTTTGTTTCCCAGGCTGGAACACTACATGGGTTTCTTCAAGCCCTCACACCATCTTCGTTTCTTTAATCCACTCACTCAATCACCCCATCACCCGACCCTGCTTCTAGTCCTGGTTGGCCAGAACTCATGATGTGGACCAGTCTAGCCTTGAACGCAGAGATCTGCCTGCTTCTGCCTCCTGAGTGCTGGGATTAAATACATGCACCACCACTCCTAGCCCCCTACTCATTTTTTAAATGAGTTTTACCCACAGGAGTGACCACAATTGGCCAGTTTTATCTTTACCTAACACATGACAAAAACCAATATATATTCTGAACCTGCATATATCTCTAGCTTCAACTGCAAGAAATATGAAGGGCAGAGGGAAAACACCACTGCAGGGAGTGAACAGACAAACCCTGGCAGGATGACTCAAGAACTGAGAGAAAAGAGACCTCAGAAGCCTTTGAAGCCACTGAGCATGCACAGGGCCCAGGTATGGGAGGCTGACTCAAGCTAAACAACACTGTTGGGCCATCATGGAACAGTGCCTAGGCTCTGGGTACTAACATGTGGAGAAGAGCCTGTAGTTTCACCAATACGTGCCTGTTAATCCCAGCACTTAGGAAGTGGAGACAGGATCAAGAGTTCAAGGCCAGTGTTGGCCACACAGAACCTTTAAGGTCAGGCTAGGCTACATGACACCATCTCAAAACAAACAAAATCAAGGAAACGGCAAGGGCATGGCATGGTGCTTAGACAGGAAATGGTCCAAGTTTGGTTGGTTTTTTTGTTTTGTTTTGAGAGATTCTAAGCAGAAAACAAAAAGACACAGTAGCTGGGATTTGCTTCAAAATCTATCAGCAAAGAAATGGGCACAGAGGTCAAGGTGGGAGCGCTCAGTGACTGCTAATTCTGGATAATGACCTCTGTACTGTTCTTTCTTCTTAACCATCTATTTGAAAGTTTGAAAAATGAATTTATAGCTGGGCGGTGGCGGCGCATGCCTTTAGTCCCAGCACTTGGGAGGCAGAGGCAGGCGGATCTCTGTGAGTTCAAGGCCAGCCTGGTCTACAAAGTTACACAGAGAAACCCTGTCTTGAAAAAGAAAAATGAATTTATAATAAATTCACAACTATTAAAGACATTCAGACCCAAACAGTAGTGGCATATGCTTTTAATAAACATGTCTACCACAAAGCCTAATAACCTAAGTCTGATCCCCAGGCCACATGGTAGAAGGAGAAAACTGATTCCTGTAAGTTACCCTCTGACCTATACACACATACACACACATACACACACACACACACACACATGGTGGGGAACAAATAAAAATGTATTTAAAAAAATTTTTAAACTATCAAATGGCCGCCACTTAGAATTGTTCCCGGTAACTCCCCTCATCACCAGTATCAGACGTGGCACAATCTGGGGATAGTGGGTTCTCATTTACACTGTGTGAGCAGGACCAAGAGTTACTGGTCCCAGCACCTGCAACATAGCAAGTCAGTAAATGAGAAGCTCTTTTTACTGAGGGCTATTAAAAGCACACCAGCAGCATGAATTCACTTCACTTTCATAGCCATTCGACAAAATGGGTACAAGCATCATTCCCTCCAGACAAGAGAAAACCTGCTCAAGGCCACACAGCTAGAAGAGGCTGAGCTAGGACTCAGACCTAGGCTCTGAGGCCTGTGCTGCTAAACGGGACACTGCTGAACCCTCTCCAAAGTAGCATAAGAAGAATGCCGAGTGAGTGGGAGCCCACCACTCACCTGTGCGGACCAGCTCACCAATGAGCTCCTCCTTCATTCGGATATTGATGGCCAGTTCCCGGATCTTCTGCTGGGCCTGAGCCAGTCGCCACTCAGAGGCCATGGCAGCAGGGGCCTGGCGGGTCTGAACTGGGACCTTGCTGCCACCAACTGCTATGACATGCAGACTGTTAGGGTTAGCACCCTGACTGAGAGTGCAGGAGGCAGAGGAGTGGAGTGGAGGGGCCCCCTGGGTGAGTAGAGAAGGGAAGAGGAGCCCCTCTGCTCTCCACCTAGCTTACCTTGTGGTGCTGGAGTGGCAGCAGCTGACTCTTCTAGGCACACCTCTGGGCCCTTCCTGTCAGGTGGGCTCCCTGGACGAACCCCTGCCCTCTGGCTCCAGTTGCTGATCCCATTTCTGGAAGGCAGAAGCAGGAGTTCCTACCACTTCCCAGTTCCTGGCCTCTTAAGCCTGGAGGGAAGAGAGTCCTCTGGACCCACCAACCCATAGGATAAGGACGGGACAGAAGCCTGAAGCCAGGGGCAGAGCTTAGAAGATGCCAAGAAGCTGTAGGTACCAAGGATCACCTTGGAAACTGAGCAGCAGGAGGCCTGGGCACTTCCTATCATAGGCACCCCAGTGAAACCTCAATCAGAGGTCCCAGTTCCCCAACAGCTAGTGAGCATGAGACAGGCAAGTGCCTTTTGTCATGTGACAGGCCTTCACAGTACTGCTAGGAGAATGACCAGGCGTCTCCTACAGCCTGGAGCAGCCCTGGGCTGATCCTGTAAGTCCACACGCTGGGTCTCCCTCACCTGCGAAGGTATAAAGTCCTCCTGGGTGGCTCCTCTTCCTCTTCCTCCCCTTCCTCCTCTGAGGTAGTGGAAGAGCTACTTCCCAACTTGTCCACTTGGGCCAGCACCTCCGCCTTGACTTCCATGCCATTTGTCACCTGCTAGGGGAGAATTAGGGGCTCGGGATGAGAATATTTGCAGGGCATCCTCTGAGTCATTTCCCTCCCAAGGCTCTTACTGGGGTGTGCTCTGCTGTGCACACCCTCCTCTCCTCAACTTCCTCCACCCAGTCTTCAACCTCAAGATCTGTCTGGGGACACCTGGTAAGTATTCTCTCCCACAAGGAGGGATGTAATGATCCCCTGGCATCTGGCTCTCCTTGGGTTACAATCTGCCCTTTCTAGTAGACAGCTCATACGAACCTAAGTCTATCCTCACTACAAACACCCTGCCGAAATGGTGGGTGCATGACATACTCCCACACAACCCAAGCCCTCTGCAACTGCAGAGCTGAGATGACCTGGAATTCTGAAGCAGCACAGGATTCAACTTTGTCTAAAAAGACCCCAAGCTGCAAACAAGCCTTGGGGAGACAGCAGAACTTGTGGAGGAGTGAGCCTGCAGATAGCCACCCACAGGAGGTATGTTAAGAGCCCCATCCTCAGGTGAACAAAGGTGCCACCTTGTCATTGCCAGTATCCTCACCCCAAGCAATCTCCAACTGTCTCAAGATGCTCACTGGCCCTGGTCACTTTTGAGAGGCTCCACAGTCTCTCATATTCTGGCCCTTTCTGTAGGGACACTTGGAATAGGAATTTTGTAACTCACAGATGGTCCCATGGAGATAAGGGACACATGTCCTAGTGTTGCCCTGGCCCTGCGCCAAGCTTTGCCACCTCCTCACCTGCTCGGAGCTAACTTCTTCTCCAGGAAGACATGTGGGGGGCACCATGCCCAGCATGTTAGTGTGGACACCTCCCAGGGGAGCTGTGTGAGGTCTCGGCACAAAGGACCCAGGAGGCAAACCCTGCAGGAGCCCCGGTGCTCCCCAGCCAGGCCGTGCCAGCTCTAGCCGAAGCCGAAGTTCCACCATCTCTTCCTGCTGTTCTCGCAGGCGGTCACTCTGCAAGACACAGACCAGGCACTGATGGGGACATAGATGCCAAGGACAGGGATGTTTGCTGACCAGAATAAGTATAAGAAACTGAAAAATGAATCAGAACATCTCATCTTCTGGGATGACACTGAGAAGTCTGAGTACCACTGACCCTATCTGGATCTGAATAACTCAGTACACTGGTTCTGACTTAAGCTCTCATCCTATGCTGTGCAATGCTCATCACATTCCCTCGCTTAAATGCCTTACCCCCAACACCAGAGAGCCCAGCATAATGCTGACCCAGTCATCAGACTCCCAGACCATCCTGCTGCCCTCAGAAGGCAACTCTGATCACTCATGCAAGGTTGGAATACCAGGCATGGCTGGCCGTGCACTCCCTTCACTGTTCTGTACCTCACCTTCTATTAAAGCTGGGCACCCCACATCTCTCCATATCCCTTCACCAGCTACCTTTGTCTGAGTTCTCCATTCAGACAAACTCCCTTCCATTCTGGGAAACTCTTTCTCCCTCCTCCCGAAAGCCTTCCTGATCTGCAGAAGGGGCATCCTACCTGCAGTTTGTACTGCTCCATGGCATCCTCCAAAGCTGCCAGAAAGTCTCGATTCTCCTCCTCTAACCGGGCCACTTGGCTCTGCAGGGTCATCAGCTGCTGGGCCCCCTCATCCCCCTACAGAGCAAGTGAAACTGCTTTAGGGGTGGGGCTGGTAAGGCCTAGGTCACCCTAACTCTTCCTTTGCCTACCGCCAGCTTACCCAGTCCTACTCTCCACTTTGTTCCAAGATCTGCCTTGCAATGGGTGCTCCTGGCCCCATCTAGCCTTAGGTTCTTTCTGCAAGCCATTTGCACCATTCTCCATTATTATTAATAAGGTTTTACATTTCACTTATTATTAATATTCTTTAGTTTTGAGTTAGGGTGTTGCTATGTAGCCCAGGATAGCCTGGAACTTATGATCATCATGTTTCCTTCTTCATGGGGTTGGAATTAAAGATGTGGTCACTATTGTCACAGATTACATTCTTATTCATGTCATATTATTATTAAGAAACCTCGGTCAAGCCGGGCGTTGGTGGCACACGCCTTTAATCCCAGCACTCGGGAGGCAGAGGCAGGCGGATCTCTGTGAGTTCGAGGCCAGCCTGGTCTCCAGAGCGAGTGCCAGGACAGGCTCCAAAGCAACACAGAGAAACCCTGTCTCGGAAAAACAAACAAACAAACAAACAAACAAACAAACAGATCCGGAGGCTAAATGAAGTTAAAGAAGTGACTTAATCACCAGAAGTGACAATGAACCCTGAATATACTGTTAACAGACATGACTGCCTGCCTAAGCCCCTCTTCCCTCGATCACTACCCCGGGCCCACCCCAGAGCCACCTTTCTCCCGCTGTTCCCCTGCGCTGTGTGGTCCTCCGCTGGAGCGCTCTCGATGCCACTGTCAGGCCCGGAGGCAGAGCTCAGGGTGGTG